TGCAGGGCAGAAGCTGAGACACAGATGTAGAGAACAAACGTATGGACACCAAGGGGGGAAAGCGGTGGGGGGTGGGGGTGGGGGTGGGATGAATTGGGTGATTGGGATTGACATGTATACACTGATGTGTATTAAACTGATGACTAATAAGAACCTGCTGTATAAAAAAATAAATTTAAAAATTTTAAAAAAAAACTAAAGTTGAACCCTTGAGAGCTAACCCTAAAAGTCAGCAGGCCAGAATGGGGAGGTAGATCTCTCTGAAAGCCAGTTTCTCATACATAAACAAAGAAAAGTTCTTACAGACACACAACAATGTAGCCAATTGACAAACAAAATGGTTAGTAGCAAATCAACACTTTAGCAAACCAACACAAAGGAAAACAAAAATCCTTACAAATTCAGTCAGGTAACCAAAAAGTCCTGGGAAACTTACTCTTAGAGCACAAAAATTTTCCATCTACCCTTCTAGGTTCTTTGGCTAATCTAATAATTAAATTGACATAAGGCAGATTAACAGGAGAAAAGTTTAATTTTGTACATACAGGAATCCCATAAAAATATGAGACCCAAAGGCAGTCAGGCAATTGAGGCTTGTATGTCAGTCTGAGCTAGGGAGTGGGATAGGGCCTGGGGCTTCAAAGGGGAGAAGGGCAGTTCAGGAAGATGAGAAGAGCAGATGTTTAGTAATCAGATGTTTGCCCTACCATGCAGGTAAGTCAGATAAAAAGTTATCTCTGGTAATGGCTCTCTTTCTGGGCCAGGCCCCCTATCTAAATTCTTTTAGGCAGTTAAGGGAGTAGTAAATGTTTTTATTGAGTCTGCTGGGTCTTGATTGCCTTCGGCTGAAAGTAATGCATGTGCCAAATGGGCACATTTGGAGGTGGCATATTCTGCTCCCATTCAAAAACAAAATAAATTTCAGCTAACTTTGGGAGCTCAACAAAAAAGGATCAGAGTTTAATGTAAGTGCTGGACTTACCATCATAAAGACTCCCCTGAGCAAAGAGGCTCAAAAGACCTCAGTGAAGTGCAGTGTAACCAATATGAGAATAGTGGTGGCATGAGGTCTTGCCTAAGTGTTGGTAGGGACCTTCATGACCATCATTGTCCTAATACAAAGGCCACCAGGGAAACCTGTTGATCATACAAAGCTGGATATATTAAAGTTTCTGAGCAAGGAAGAGCATCACCTTGAGAGTCTCAGTAGTGTCTCAAGAGGAGGAAGTTACAGAAGGATACTTACAGGATTTTGAGGACTGGGATTGGTCATGAGGTGGTTTTAAGGTAGTTAGTAAGTACGGTCTAGGCAGACTGAGCACATTTTGCGAAATAGGTGAGTTGCTGAAACAATTTCATTTTATCTTTGGAGCACGAGTCCATATGGAGTTACCATGGTCTCTAATTGTCCATAATCTTATAGGACCATACAGGTCTGAACAAGCTTATGTTATAACAATTTGACTTAAGATAGTTTGTTACATATCATAGTTTGGTACAGTTTACCTGTTATGCAAGTAATCATACAGTTTTGCAAGTAGATGTGTCTATTTTATTTCTCAGAAGGAAAGAGTCTGTCGGCGAGATAGCCAATTATAAGGCTTTTGCAGAAATTCAGATACATTGAATGCCTGAAATTGGGGCATGGGGAGGGTTGATAAGAGAGTGAATGAAAATGTAGTGTCAAGGAGGAGATGGATTCCTGTTTATAAAGCAGCAAAACATTAAAAAAAAAAAAAAGATGGAATAAGGATTAAGGATTGAAACCTTTGGGAAGATAGTGGACTACAAAAGGAAAATAATCAAAGGCTAAATGTTTGAAAGCTGGAAATACAGTGGCGCCATTGACAATAACAGGAACAGGAAATTGAAATTTAGTATGTGGTAGATAAGAAAGTAACAAGGTATCAAGATAATGGGTTATGTTTTTGTTTTTTTGTTTGTTTTGGCTTATGTTTTATTTTACTTTATATTGTATTTTTTCTTTTATATTTTAACTACAATAAGTTTCAGGCATCATTCCAGAGATGACTAGAAGTATAAGAAGCTGGAAAATAAGATTACGTTTTTAAAGAGGAATATTGTGAATTTATTCTAGTGTATGCAGCCTTATAATCTTCCATTCAATTCTGTATGTTTTCTTTGAAAATACTTAAAACGCACTGGAAATCCCATACCCTCACTTAACTAGCTATTATTTCATTATGTCAATTTTACAGACAAACAACTGGTTCTCCAGTGATCGCTAATTGTTCTATTATTTCTGGAACTGTGTGCAGCAAAATAATAGAGAGGAACATGAATGGCAAAGAAACCACCCTAATAACGGGGAAATCTTATTACTCAGTTGGTGGTCAGTACCCTTTGTGAAAAAAATATTATATAACCATTCAGTTTTCTTTCTGCAGCAACTTGTCTGATTAATGGAGTTTAAAACCTGCAAGCCTTGGCCTTATAAAATTATAAGTTCAATAACTGTGTGTTAATTAAGATCAGAAAATTAATCTGTATTAGTACTGCAATAGCAATTTTCCAAGCTCTGCCAGTGACTAAGGATGAAAGTGGGTTGCAGTGTCACATGGGATCTGATTAAGTTAGATTAGTGTAGTATTTGAAGGGACGTCTCCCAGGTGACAGTGAATAAGATGATCAAAATTTTTCTGCAGATATTTTAAGGGGACAGTTGTTTGCAAAGCTACTACTTTTCTAACATAAAGCCAAAGGTCCAGCCACATGGTATCACTAATGAGTCAGAAGGAAGACTAAAAGGGGCTTTAGGTCATTGTTTGGCAGAACTGAGATACAAAACCCTGGGTATTGTCCATATTAACAGCCTAAGCATCTGAAATGTGCAGGCTTGCCTTCAACCTCCTAAGATAATATTCCAGATTTTCTCACTTCAAAGATGTACTTTTTTTTTCATTTTGTAATTTTCTGAAATCAAAGTATATCTTAAAATTGTGTAAATTAAATTTGCATGTTGTATGTGTCTGTGTGTGTTAGGGACCTCCTACTCTTAAGTATTTTATAATCTAATAAGTGTATATCTGTGTTCACGTTATAAACTGATTCCATCCATACTAGCATCTAGGAGTAACAATATGAGAACAATTGGGGGGAATTAGATGCTCTTTCAATATCATGTATCATAAAGAAAGGACAGAGAATTGTTTTTATTGTATATTTATCTATGTTAACTGAGTGTTCATTATCTCAGTCCTAACAACTGCCTTTCAAGGTAGTTTTAATACTATATATTATAAATGAGAAAATTATGGCATAATGTGTTTGGGCAACTTGAATTTGAACCTTATCTGAATAAGGTAGACTCTTGCTTGCTACTACGCTACACTGCTTCATTGGAACATCCTAACATAAAATAAGCTTCTTATAATTTTCTTCATTGACATATAATAGTAGATGTTAAATCTCTAAAGGGTGATTCAGTTCAAAGTCATGGAATCATGGGTGTGTGCAGTTAAGTATTACTTGTTTAAGTTTGCTAATAGAGGCAAGATATCTGGCTCCCTCTCCTTCAAATAAGTTTAACTTCTTCGGTACTACTGATCCCACTTCACAAAAGAGATCAAAAAGCTTGAAAGAAAAGATAAATGATCATTCTCTTCAAACTTGAGAATATCATGTCACACAGTCTCTTCCTCAGATATTCTCAGTGAAGGACAGATTAGAAAATAATAGTGGGAGGAAAAAAGAAAGTTTTTTTTTTTTAATTTGACCCAGTAAACAACCAACCAGTAGAAAGGCAGCTATCTCCAGAGCACTATTCTGTCAAATTGTAGCCAAAGCTGGTGTGATATTTGGCCTGCTGTTTAGTCACCACTTAAATTTCTGCATGTTTTTTAATTCTGGAGGACTGTTTTGTGATCCTCCTATGCTTTCATTATTTATCAAAGATCCTTTGAGCATATATCTTCTATGGGCCAGATACTGTTATAGGTGCTAGATGTGCTAAACTCTGTTTACTAGATCTATTTTCTCCCCATTAACAATAGGCAATATTATCCTAAGAAAATAATTTGTAGTGGTTTTTTTTTTTTTTTTTTTTTTGGCTTTGTAGCTGCTAAATCCTGAAGATGACCTCTTACCAGGAAAGATTCGAGACAGCAATCGTTCAACCCTCTTAGCAACAATTCAGGAACATGGTTACCCCACAATCAACTTGGGAATTGTGGGAGACAAGTAAGTATTGGATTTTATTTTGAAGTTGTTATTGTACAAATATGAATTTGGGGAGTACTAACTAGGCGGGATTGTTGCTAAAGAGAAAGAAATTTAATACCATAATTTTCACTTATTTCATTCTTCAGAAGTCAAAGAATTATGGAGATGTCTATGTCCTTTAGTGATAGACATTTTCCTGGAATGCCTTTTACAATAGGAGAAATATGTTGCTCTGCTTTGGGTGTTATTCCTATACATAATTTTACTTATGTCAAGAAAGATAGGGAAGACATGGGTGAGAAGAGTAAGAAGGAAATGTCAAAATTAGTACTAACTGGGGCTTCCCTGGTGGCGCAGTGGTTGAGAGTCCGCCTGCCGATGCAGGGCACACGGGTTCTTGCCCCGGTCCGGGAAGATCCCACATGCCGCGGAGCGGATAAGCCCGTGAGCCATGGCCGCTAGGCCTGCGCGTCCGGAGCCTGTGCTCCGCAACGGGAGAGGCCACATCAGTGAGAGGCCTGCGCACAGCAAAAAAAAAAAATTAGTACTAACTGATTCTTTGAAGTTTAAGTACAATTATTTTCTAGGACTTTTATATTGATTTTTGTATTCTTATAAAACCTGAGTTTCTCCAGGCTTCACCCACTTGTAAATACAAAGGGAGGCACTTTGACTATAATTGCCCATCTCTGAGAGCATATTACCCCATTTACTAAATTAACTCAGCCCTCTGCTAAATTCTCCAAGTATTTCTACAAATTTCCAACTGCATCTCCAGCTCCAGCTGCACATGCAATCAAAAACAAGTCTCCTCTTTCTGAGCATCCCACTTCCATGCAACACTGCTGTTCAGCCATCTTTCACCAGGCACTATTTCCAGTTCACCAGAGGTGTGCCTGCTCTTAGTAACACTCAAACAACAGCCTGCTGGAGACAAAGCTAGGAGACATATCTGAGTGATGGATGCCCTGATGTATCTGTCACCCATAATTGCCCCTTTCTGTCTTATCACCACCTTGTCACTGAGCAAAGCTCATTATACCTGGATCCTCCTTCCCTTAAGATGAGTGCTTTCCCAGGGCTCAAATATGCTCTTGAAGAGGCTCTGTCCTACCATTTCACAAGGTATGCTGGGACTCCTATAAACCCCAGTTTAGGCTCAAACTGGACACAATGTAGTCCAAACCTGGAACACAGCATCTTGCTAGTAACCTGAAAGGCAGTCGTTTTTATGTTAATCTCACCTTTTAAACTTCTCTTCTTTCCTCCTGTTTTTTTTTTTCTTTCTCTGTGGACACTGGAGTAGAGTCTGTGACACATATTTTCAAACAGCATTTTATTTTTTTAATTCACCATTTGTATTTACCTGAAAGTTTAGTTCTAGAGAAGTCCATAGGTAAGTAACCAGCCAACTTAGAACCCATGCTGGTGAAGCCAGTGCTTCAGGTTACCTGGTATCACCCTGACCCAGGCTCCATAGCCCTGGGAAGAGATAGAAAGAATCCAGTGAAAAAAAGCAGGGAGGGTTGAATTTGGACCTGACTAGTAACCCATCCTTTCATATATATAAACTTCCAAGCATCTAAAAATTATCCTGATGCAGATACACCTTTAAAGAAGGCAAAAAGTAATCTCTGAGAGGAGGTAGGATGAATCCAAGAGTTCCAACAGCACAGAACAGGCCTGAAACTCTAGGGAACAAATGCACCAGATTTAGAATTTGTTTCCCAGCCACCGCTGACTTTGGCCCTGCCTCCAAGTGCATTAATGAGCTCTAAGAACTATTATAAGGTAAAAGGTGCTTTTTGTTTGTGTGTATCATTTTTACTTTATGCTGTCTTGACTATAATTCTGTTCATTCTCTCCTCCTAATGTTGTACTTTTGTATTAAAATAAAAAGCTAACTTGATATATACTATATATGCTGCCATTACCTTACTACAAAGGCCAAAACACCATAGAAAGGTTCCTATGTTGATATGCTAATATTTGATTTTCTAGGACCAGCTGTTGATTCGTTGTAGACATTTTCTAATAATTAATGTTGCTATTACATGTAACTTCAAAATGTCCCTTGAAAACAGCATATAAAGAACAACAAAACTTATAAGCAAAATATAGGCAATTTTGAGAATATGCACATCTTTAGTATATTCTTTTCTTGGATTTAATACCTTACATAAAACTGAGAACAATTTTTTTTTTAAATACAATTGATGCAAATCTAAACTTTCTCAGCCTTAGAGTGCTGTATTGAAGAGGCCCAGAGTAAATGGTTTAAAATGCAGAGGTGGAATGTGGGAGGAAAGAATTTATAACTGTTCAGGTGGAAATCTGTTCTGGGAATTTAGCAAAGGAAACAACGTACATTTAATCTGCAGCCTGTTGATATTCTGTGAAGGTTGTCTCCCTCTTCATTCTTCTCTTTCCTATATAGCCGTTTGCTGGTGAAAGCAAATGTTGTTATATAGAAGCCTCTATGGGAAGCTCTCCAGGGAAACAAGCAGGGTCACGGGAGAAACTACCCTATGTTTAAAGCAGGGAGAGAAATAGCTCAAGAATGTCAGCAAGCACAGAACCCTTACTCAGCTATGCCAGATAAGAGTAGGGAGTAAGAGTGCTATTCTTGTTATTTTTAAAAGGTTTCAATCTGGGTTTAAATTCTGTATGATTCTACTTCTTAGCTCTTATTCTTATCACCTACCATGACTTTAACAATAAATGTTAAAATTGAAGGGTAAGACTCTATAACTTATTTGGATTGACCTGGATGAGTTTTGCCTTTGTTTCTTGTACATTTCATTTAAAAAGAGGGTACAGTGGAGCTTATGGGAGGGGTGCTTTAAATACGTATTAACTATATTTTTAAAACATTCATTTTAAACTATTATGTGAATATTAAAACACATTCCTTAGACATATTTTTTCTCATTGTGTGGAACACAATACCATTGTGGTTCCTAGCGTTTTTCTTTAAAAAGACAAATTTTTTATAATGTAAAAAACATTTTATTGAGGTATAATTTACAATGTTATATTAGTTTCAGGTGTACAACATAGTGATTCAGAATTTTTATAGGTTATACACCATTTAAAGTTATAAAATATTGGCTGTATTCCTGTGCTATACAATACATCCTTGTAGCTTATTTATTTTATACATAGTAGTTTGTACCTCTTAATCCTCTACTCCTTAATCCCTCTTCTCTTCCCTCTCCCCACCGGTAAACACTAGTTTTTTTTTTTCTATATATGTGAGTCTATTTCTGTTTTGTTATACTCACTAGTTTGTTTTATTTTTTAGATTCCACATATAAGTGATATCATACAGTATTTGTCTTTCTCTGTCTGACTTATTTTACTAAGCATGATACACTCCACGTCCATTCATGTTGTTGCAAATGGCAAAAGTTTTTTCTTTTTCATGGCTGAGTAGTATTCCATTGTATATACCACATCTTCTTTATTCATTCATCTGTTGATGGACTTTTAGGTTACTTCCATATCTTGGCTGTTATAAATAATGCTGCTGTGAACACTGAGGTACATGTATCTTTTCAAATTAGTGTTTTGGGATATATACCCAGGAATGGAGTGGCTGGGTCATATGGTAGTTCAATTTTTAGTTTTTTGAGAAGCCTCCATACTGTTTTCCACAGTGGCTCTACCAATTCACATTCCCACCAACAGCATAGAAGGGTTCCCTTTTCTCCACATTCTCACCAACATTTGTTACTTGTGGTCTTTTTGATAAAAGCCATTGTGGCAAGTGTGAAGTGATATCTCATTGTGGTTTTGATTTGCATTTATCAATGATCAGCAGTGTTGAGCATGTTTTCATGTGCCTATTGGCCTTGTGTATGAAAAAGACTAGCTTTTAAACCCAGAGATGTTCATTGAACTTGCCCAGCAGTATACAAGTTAGTGGCAGAGGTGGAAATGGAATCTAAGTTTCTTGAAAGTAACAATCCACAATTCTCATTATGAAGACAAGATAATATCATTATGAAGATATTTCGTTTTAGCTAGAACAGGAAGGATAAATAGGATTTGTGTATTTAGGAAAAGAGAGTATGTTAACCAAGTAGGAAACAGGGAATGAACAAAAATAAAGAAGTAGAAAGAATAGTTTACTCAGGTCAGGCCAGACTGTTTAGAGCAGGAGGTTCAGGTAGAAGGATAATATGTGTAAATTTGGTAGAAATTTGAAGCCAGATTTTGAAAGGTTTTGTAATCCAGGCAGCACTACCCAATTTGGTTAAATTTGCAGCTTTTTTTAAAAGCAGAATTAACATAGTAAACCATATTTTGGAAAGATCATTTGCCCAAGTTGTATCACATGAGCTAAAGTTGGAGACCTACTAGAAATAAGAACAACAATACAGTTTGTTTATTCATTGTTCAGTTAGTCAGGAAGTATTAATTGTGTACCTATTTGAATCACCTGGAGATCTTATTAAAAATGCTGATTGTGATTCAGCAAATCTGGAGTGGGCCAAGATTTTGCATTTCTAACAAGTTCCCAAGAATACCAAGCCACTTGTTGATGGATCACAGGAAGTAACAAGGGTATGGTAAACTTAATCATGATTCTACTATGAATTTTAAGCCAAAGGCTCTTGAAGATTCAAAACTGAAATAGATATAGACCTTGTCCTTAAAATTACATGTACTGTAAATGCACTATAAATTACAGCTTAGTAATAAAGATGTTTTAGAAAGTTCCAGAGCTTATGCTCAAATTTGGAAGTAGAATTTTAAAAAAAGAGATTAAATCGAAAGACATTTTGAAGGCTATTACATAGAACAGAAGGGTGTCAGTGTTGATTCATCTTCATCTGGATTGCAAAGCCTCATCAAAATGGTATGTGTCTGTAAACACAAATAAAATGCCTGCGTAACCCAGCTATTAGGTCTCTCTACCACAATTTTACATCCCTCTCCAGCAATACACCATTTCAACTTCTTCATTCTCCATTTGTAGTTTATTCTTTCTTGTTTTGGCAGCTTCTCTTCCT